AAAGGGGGTGGGAAAGACAGGGAGGGAGAGAGAGAGACAGAAATTGAAAGGGAGAGAGAGGGACAAGGCTTGCTTTCATTGCAAGTGAGAACATGAACGTAAAACTTCAATAACCAGAATTCATTTGCTTTGTACATTTTAAACCTGCTGTAGCTAGTGTAATCAGCACATGAAGTTGGGTCTAATTGCTGCTTTCCAGCTTGACCTAATTGATGCTCTGATTTGCAGTCACCTACCTCTATGAGCCCATGTTTCATTACATTTTACCCTTGTTCCTGAAATCCTAAAATTCCCATGGGGAAAAATAGACTACAGCGATCCATAGCTTTTGTATGTGAACTGACAATTCTTTCTCCCCTGTAATTTTTGTTCATGTATTTCATGAACAATGAAAATACAATGGGTTGACAGAGAGATTTATTAGTTACCCCCAAATACTCCTTATTTAGGCAGGCATAAGTCCTTTTAATTCTCTGGGAGTTTTACTTAAACTCTGAATGAAAACTACAGTGATATAAAATCAGCTTAGAGATATTTTCATAACCTAATTGGGGTGTTTATATTACAAGACTATGTTATTCTCAGTCTCTGCCCATAATTGCAAAGATAAAGTTTTTCGGTGAAGAATGTGTCAGTAATTTTCATGGAAAATGATTTAAAGGAAAGCTTTTGAAATATGGAATCCTCATGGTTTTAGCTTTAAATAAGCATTTCAGTCATCATAAAAAAACCCTCTAATGTCTCCTGCAGCTTTGATTTCAAACACGTCACATTCTTCATTAAAGCAATCATTGTTAAAACAGAGGGACATAAAGCAACATAGGATTTATTCCTTCATTAAACTGATGATCCGTATATGAAGCCAATTAACATTATGAGTCTGGTGAACATCAAGTGTAAAGAGGTTACAGAAAATTAAAAGCAGTCACCTTGGTCTTTAGATAAAGAAAGAACACTTTTACATTATAAATTATAAGAGTGTCCAAGCGGGACAAATCGGCAAATTTGGTTAATTGGAAAATACATTTTACTGCACATGAATTAGGGTAAAATAACCTTTTAGCTGCTAGCTTTTTTCTGTAATCAGGTATTGAGAATCATGGGAAATGGTGTTTGGACATGGAAAGGCAAAAGACTCATTTCATCAAACTAAGCCATTCAGACTTCCTTGAGTTCTACGAATGAGCCCCTCAAAGCTCAGTGCTCTGAAGGAAAAGGTCCGTTCAGTGATTTTGCTCATCAGTTCAGCCCTAGGTTTTGTTGTTGTGGGTGAAAAATAAGAGGTGTGTTTGTGTGTGCAGCACGAGAACAGTTCTGCTGTCAGACAGACACAATCAGCAGAATGTCCATCCAGAATTATGTTTAGTTGGGCTTTTTCTTGCAGACCTAGTAACTAATATTGATGTCACTCTAAATAGTCACAGTAACAATAACAGTAATAATGACAGTAATAAAAATTAAGTTTATGAGAGAGACTTTAAGGACTTTACATAACAAGGGAATTTTCTTCTGAAATATTGTAGCTCTGTACGTTATTTCATTCTACAGCTTATTTTTAGTGCTTGCCTTTGGCAGTTGGATGAGAGGACCCACCAGAGAAACATGGTCCCAAGCAATTTAGTGGGTATGTTTTCCACTGTGGTCCCAGCTTCGCAGGAAAGCGTCTACCGCACGGAGAGACCCAGAAGCAGCCCTGCCAGCATCCTTCCCCCGGAGCAGGGACTAGCCCCGGTCCGCCCCGGCGGGCGGTGCGGGCCGGTGGTGCGGGAGGAGCGGCGAGCGCTCTCCGCGGTGCTGAAGCGCCGCCGCCGCCCCTGGGCTCCGGCCACCCGAGAGCAGCGCCCAGGACTCCCCTGCGCTAACTTTTAATTATGTCAGCACCACGTTTCGAGCATTAAAATTAAACAGACATCGAGCTGGCGAGGGGTGGGGGATTATATATTGCTTAGTTATCTCCTTGTTTTGCAGCTGCTGCTCCTTGGGAGAAAGTTGAGCCTCGACCGTCTCCGAGTCCTTCTGTTTCTATTTAAAAAGCAGCGACTTGGAGCACTTCCCCGTGCTGCATTCCGCCCTCTCCGCCTCCTGCAATACGCTGAACTTGCAGGTTTCAAACTGCTGGGGAAAGTGAGTCTTGGAACCAAAACAGCAATGCAGCCCCTGACTAGAGCAAGGCCTGAGAGTGCCATAATGAAGTTATTATTATTTTATTAGGGGTTCTTATGATAAAACAGTCTCACTCCTCTCTTCCCGATGTCAGACAAAAGTCACTTCTGTCTCTGTGCAAAGGGATCCTACAGTGCTGGCCCTGTGTGCATTTTAAAGCTCAGGATGGAGAGGCTGGCAGGGGAGACCCAGGCAGCACCTCTGGGTTATGTTCTTTTTAAGGTTCCTTGACCTAAAGCTTATGCTGCTATTTTAAGGAGGTCAGCTGGCTTCAGAACAGTGGTCTTTGATCTTGCACGGTGCTGTAGAAGCCGTCTCGATTGGTACTATACTTTGCTGCTCAGAGACTTTCCTGGATGGTGAGTCAATATCTGTTGTCAAACAAAGATATTCATAAAAGTGTTTATGTTAATGTGTAGACATGTAAATATATATGTGTATATATAAATATATAAACACATGAATGCAGCTTTCTAAATCTGTTACTAGTATGATAAAATTGTAAGTCGGCGGACAAGATCAGATCAAATCAATTTGGATCTCGAGTACAATTAATTTTTGCCTTGTTTTGCTAAAATAATGCTTTGCAGGGCTGAAACATAACTTCAACTTGAATATATATTAGGGGAATTTCCACATCTATGCCAAGTGTCAAGGCAGATAGAGCAGGTGATATTTCTAAGGCTTATTTGTGTTTATATAATGAGATCATACGTGCAAAATAACTTTCCAAAGACATCATCTATTCAAAATCTCTATTTCTGCACCTGTATTGTCTGTATCCATCTCCTTTGCTCTGGTATGAACGTGCTATGTCTTTAAACTCCCATCAGATCTAAGAGAGCCTGTGTAGATTTGCTCGCCCTTCCTGCACAGAACATTACAATGTTTATAAAATATTAAATTTGTGTAGTCTGCCGGAGAAGCAATTGTTCCAAAATAAAATCAGCAGTCTAGACGAAACATAGACACCAGAACTTATCAACAGTTGTCTGACTTACATCTTCTGATGCATCTTGAGTGGGTCATAATACCAACTTTATTTTCAGTGGTGCATAAATTAATTACACGCATTTAATAACCAAAATATCATTATATTCCCCCTTTAATATCATAAAGGCTTTACGCCAGGGAAGCACTTAATGTGCAGGGGGCCATAACAGGCTATTATCCTTGTGTAATGCTATTACAGAACCAATTATGCGCCATTATACTTGCTTTTTTTGCAGTTTATGTGATTTGATCCAATCCCGCGTCCCTGACTTGAAAATTTCATCTGGGTACTTTAAAGTCTAATTTTCACCCGGGCTGAGGCAAGGGCCATCTCTCTCCGCTGAGCCTATGTCTCGGATGCATTTTAAAAGTAATTGCGCAGGGTCCCGCCGCATATCATTTGCAGACGGGAAGCGAGCATAAATCCAGAGACCCCTCGCTGCGAACAAAATCAAACTTTGCCGTGGTACGATCGCTTGGAAAGGCGAGGCGTGTGCAGAGCGACCCCCCAAAACCCATCCGGCGGCAATTACCCGGCGCTCCGGCAGCCCGGGGTGCGGGCGGCGCGCAGCGCTCGGCGCGGAGGGACCCCCCCGGCCCCGCACCCCGGGGCACCCCGGGGCGGAGGGGGGACACGCCGGGGGCCGCGAGCCCCGGAGCGCCCAGCGCTCAGAAAATAATGGGATTGTGTTGCTGCCGTTCACATTCCTGGCGTTTGCTGAGAAATGACGTTTTTTTCTTTTCATCCTTTCCACCCCCCCCTCTGCTCTGCACACCACGTGGGCCATTTGTAGGGCCCAATAGACCTATCCAAGTTACTCACTGTAGACAGCGCTGGAAATAATCAGATTAAGGCCAATTATGCGTGAGATTATAAAGGCAAGTGCTGAGAGGCAGAGCATGCTGTAGACAGATATAAAGACATCTGGCCACTTCCAGAACTCCACAGAGCCCTTCTGTCTCTGAAGCCAACAACTCACAGCGCCTTATTCTAAAGCAAAATACCCCCAAACCTTACCGGTGATTTTTACGTCTGTTCGGTTTAGGTATGGATTACTATATTCATTTGACTTCTGGATATTTTTTTTTTTTTATGACTGCATATAAATTTGAATAGTTGTTTGGTGGTTTGGCTTTTTTTTTTTTTTTTTTTTTTTTTTTCTCCGAGGACATTGGTTTCCAACCCGAATATGGCTCTTCCGTGTGTTGGATGCTTTAAAAAGAAGACAGCTTTTAGGTTTTATTGCTGTTTCATTTAGGCAGAATAATTTAGATTTTTTTTTTAAGCGGTTCTACAAACATCTTTTTCTTTATGTAATTATTTGCTCCGGAGAAGAGTATTTGAGATAATTAGATAGATAGGGAGACAGGGAGGTAGATAGATAGATAAATAGATAGATAGACAGATAGTGAGAGAGATCACTATTGCTGGATAGATAGAAGAACAAGAGAGAGAGAATCTGCTATTCGGGGGAGAAAACAAAGTTTTACTGATTGTGATTACTGTGTGTCTACCACGGAGTCTTCTATCTTTGGCTTTTTCAGTTCGTTGCAGAGGGTTAGGCATTACTTTCTCTGCTTCCTCTGGGATGGGCTTTAGGGTTGTCAGTGAGTTTCTCCAGGTGTTTTCTTCTGGCTATTCACCTATTCTGTTCTTTCCTTCTCTGTCTGCAGGTCTGCAGGAGACACCTCGGCGGTGCGTGGCGGTGCCCGACTGGGGAGCTGGTGCCGGTCCGTCGGTGCGAGGGGAGGGCGGGAGCCCCGCGCCCCACGGGCTGGCCCCGGCCCCGGCCGCCGGCGGGCTCGCAGCTGCGGGCAACGGGCGCCCACCCAGCCGCAGGGCCATGTTCTACTTCCACTGCCCCCCGCAGCTAGAGGGTGAGTGTTGTCGCACAGAGACGTGTAAGTACCAGAGCTGAACTTCGAGGGGTGTAGGGGGTGGTGTGCAGGGGACGGAGGGAGAAACTGTGGTCTGACTTGCTCCACGACGGTCGGGTACAGATACGTGCTGGGATAAGATGTAGATTTATAAAGACCTCTAAATATTATCCTTTTCCTTAAGAAAACACAATCCTATCCCCCTCCCCGCTCCCAGCTTTCCCCTCTTGTCACAGGACGGAAAGAATTACTTTTTTTTTTTTTTTTTTTTAATTTGATGCCTGCTGGAAAGGCCTTGTTTTTACACCCCCACCCCTGTCATTTTGCCACCTGCCTCCCCTCTGTGGATAGTGATCCCGCAGTTGAGCCTCAGGCTACGGCAGAGATGCTTTTCTCCCCTCCCAGCACAGATGTTGGTGTCATGGCTGTAATCGGGACACTTTCAGGACGTGGTCACGCCTCCTCCCTCCAGCCAAAGGGACCGCATAAATCTTTAATGCTATTTTACAAACATTCTGCGGGAGGATGGGGGAAAACGAGGCACGACTGAAGAAAAAAAAGGAAATAAATATTTGGGAGGATGTTTTTCTTTGTGTTATTGGTCAGAGGTTTTTGTCTATTTATTATTATTATTATTATTTGTTTCCTTTAAAAAAAATATGGCAGCCGTCGGGATTTCCTCTTGTCCCAGGGCCCTCTGCATCCGCTCCCTCTGGCCAGTGTTCGTAGCGCGCGGAGCATCCTCGGAGCCGCGGCCGCGCAGCCCCAACCCCGGGAGGGCTGTCCCGCCGTGCCCGAGCGCGCCCGCGGCTGCACGGCGGAGAAAGCGACCCGGCCCCGGAAAATACCCCTGCCTGCCCACCCCGTTCCTTGCACGGGCATCGCAGGGAGAGCAAGGGGATTTCCCTGCGGCAGCCCTGCCAGGAAGAGACGGTCCAGCTCTCCCCAAAGTTTTCTCCGGGCGGGACAAGGGAGGTGGACCGGGCAGGATAGTGCGAGGATCTCTCCCGCACCTGTCGCCAAGCGCTGGGACGGCTTTGTTCGTTAGTTTTTGGCAACAGCTTTGGAAGCGTGCTCTTGTTTTTGTTTGTTTGTTTGCTCGCTTGTTTGCTTGTTTGTTTGATGTGTGTTTGTTTCTCCGGTGGCAGCGTGGGGCCGGTACCAGAGACAGGGAGCTGCCCCCGCAGTCTGCAGCCTCTCCCGGTGGCGTTCGGGACCGGCCCTTCATTCTCCCGCCGTGGGCAGCATCGGGGAGGGGGGGAAGGGGCGGACTCTCCTGCTAAAGGGTAAAAAGAATAAATATATAAATAAATAAAAATACACCACTGTTCAAAACCCCCCACCCACCGATCACCAAAACAGAGGTGGCAACAGAAAAGCTCTCTTCGGCCAGCGTTTGGGCAGTCAGGGAGGCCCAGTACCACAGGGAAGAGACCGGACTCTAGGGGTCCCCAGGACAGTATTTTATTCTCTGATGAGCCTCTCCCAGGCTAGCAGAGAGTCGTCCGTCTTTGTGAGGAGGGGGCTGGAGTCCGTGTTTATCTTCCAAACTATACTGCAAGATGAGCCGCGACCTCCAGTCCCCGTGCCCGCGGCGGGGCCGGGCTGGGTCAGAGCACGCCATGGGCAGGTCTGCGAGTGGGGCCACAGGGACATTCAGCAACTCTTCTGAGGGTTTGGGTACTTTTCTTTTCCGTGAGGGTTTTTTTGTTTTGTTTTTGTTTGTGAGTTTGGAGGTGGTGGATTTTTGTTTGTTTGCTGTTTCTGAGTTTGGTTTAAGTTTTGGGTGGTATTTTGGTCTGGTTTGTTTGGTTTGGTTGTTTGTTTTTCTTTATCCTGTTTTGTCAGCGGACAGAAAGGGAGTGACACATTTCATCCCGGGCACAGAGGATGTGTGACTGGGGGAGCCGCGAAGGCCAGGGTCCATTCCACTTGCATCCCACCGGCCCATTTGCCCTCTGCCGACCTCTGCCCAGGGACAAAACCCCAGTTCCCCAATCGGCCCCTCGAACCCCTCGTCGGGAAAGGACAGGGGCGGCCTCCTCCAGCCCCGCTGCAGAGTCCTGGCGGCTTAGCCGTGGCTGAGCTGCCCCCGGTGCTCAGCTGTACGGAGCCCCACGCCCATGTTCTCCTCCAGGAATGAGGGCGAGCAGACGGGGGCGGCTCGGCCGCTGCTCGCAGGATGTGCGTGGGGAACCACAGAGGCCCCGGTGCTGCTCCGTCCAGGCAGGGGCTTTCCCGGGCTCTCCCGGCAGATGGGCAGGGCCTTTACGAGCTGCTGTCCCCACGCCAATGTCAAAGCTTCATCTTGTCTTCCTTTTAAAACACAAATGGCCCGAAAAAATACTCTTTACCGGGGCGGGGTGAGCTTCGGTCGGAAGAACCCCCCGGTGCCTGCAGGAGCCCCCCGCCCAGCTCCCGCCGTGCTCCCGGGGCCGACCGGGATGCTTGGGGCTCCGGCCCCGCGGAGATGGAGCCGCATTCCCCACCCAGCCGATGTGGCCCCGGCCCTTTGCCCCCACGGGGCACAGCGGCCCCTAACTCGGCTCTCGGCCTGCAGGCGCGGCGCCCTTCGGAGGCCACTCCGCTGGCGACTTCGACGACGGGTTCCTGCGCAGGAAGCAGCGCCGCAACCGCACCACCTTCACCTTGCAGCAGGTAGGAGCCTGCTTCTCTCTGCCCCTGCCCTGCGCACCCACTGCCCCATGCTTGCCCCATACTTGCTCCCTGCCTCCTCCATACTGCTCCCTTCCTGCTTCCCACCTGCTTCCCGCACGCCCCATGCCGTGCCAGCCCGGTGCCCCGCCTGCCCCACTGCCTCGGGCGGTCCCGCTTTCCTCAGCCATGCCTGGCAGACACCCCCTGGGGCGGCCGGACAGATTTCTCACGGATCTCTGCTCTCCCCTCCACCAGCTCGAGGCCCTGGAAGCCGTTTTTGCTCAAACCCACTACCCGGATGTGTTCACTCGGGAAGAGCTGGCTATGAAAATCAACCTCACAGAGGCCAGGGTGCAGGTAAACATCCTGGGGAATTATTTAATTCGGGTATTCAAACTGGCAAACTTTTTTTTTTTAAATTTTTTTTTTTATTTGACATCATGACTGCAGAGTGCACATTTGGCCAAAGAACGCAAATGAAGACGATCTGTCATTTTCATGATGCACTTTAATAACATCAACATAATGTGGAATATTAGATTAGGTTGATTAATCGGTCATTCATAATTAACTAGTGATAATGTTCTACACTAATTTGTCCGCGTCTCCAAGGTACTAAATTACATCAATGCACATCCATTTCCTTGCTTTTGGAGGGGGGGCGTGGTGCGGAGAAAAGAGCTGAGACGTGATTCTCCAAAGCAACTATGACCACTGTCGAGCAGTGGGGTTAGTCAACTGCAGGGAGCCCAGCTGCCAGGAAGAAATCTCATGCACCTCTTCAACTTTTCTCCCTTTGCCTTCTTTCTAAACACTTGATTTAGACAGCTAAAGAGCCTGCAGAGCAATTTCCACACCTTTAATATGATCCAGTAAATACCATTGGCCATGATTACTCTTTCCACCACCACTCTTTTCCACTCCTTCTTTTCTTCCTTCTCCTCACCTTTTTCCTCTTTTTTCCCCTCTTTTTTTCCCTCTTTTTTCCCCCCTTTTATCCATGCGTTTGTTTTTCCATCTCCAGGGATTAACTTTGTGTGTCTACAAGCTCTGCCAAGAGCAGCAGTCCTGCAGTTGTCAGACATGGTTCCCTATAACTCTGCAGGCATTCACTGCAAAGTTGCAAACCATTTTTTGAACACAATTATGCATTAATTTTTGTTTGTGGGGCTTTTCCGCGTGCTGTTCTTCTATTTTTTTTTATTTATTTATTTAGGCGCTCGGGGTTAAGACTATGCAAAGATCTAATTGTAGGAAATATAATAGCTTGCCTTTTGTTCCCTAGGGTCATGTTAGTATCTCTTAAAACCCAATGGCTGAAGAGAGATAATGGAATTCACCACAGTAAATTGGGGATTGTAAACAAATTATTTCTCCTATAATCAGATTATGTGATCCTGATTATTAAATCTCAACATGAATCATTGGTCATATGCGGGCAAATTAAACTGATTATTATTTGAAAATGAAAATCTCCTTTTGCCACTGCGTTGTAGGTACTGGCTTAAAAAAAATAATAAAAAATGCCATTTTGGCTATTGGTGCCTAAAGACTGAACTGCAAATTGAGATAAATGGGACAATTATTGAGCATTCAGAAGTGGAAGATCATAACTTCTTCCTGAAAGGTGCAAGGGTGAGATAGGGGTGGTGACAATTAGATTGCTGAGGACTGGTGTTTAGCCTTGTTGTTGGCTATTATGCAAACAGACAATAGATGCAAGCATTTGTTTAGCCTGCTTTCATACAGGGGCACGGGGAAACACAGAGGATGGGAGATATGTTTACATTTATACCCCTTGCTCATTCAAATATGATTAATGTGCTATAAAGCAGAGTCTTAATCGAAGATGATGTTGTCAAACAATAACTAAATAGGGAAATAAACGACTTCATCATGCTCTTTCCTCAGAAGCAGGCGAACTGTCAGTGCAAAGTCATTAAAATATGATAATGAAAAATAGCTCAATTAAATGTTGTTATAGCTGTGACCTTCATTCAATTAAGACACAAGAAAGTGTCTGCATTTTGCTTTGCATTTAACTGCTCTAAATTTAGAATATAGATAAAATCATTATTCAATGTTTGCTGATACATGCAATTAAAAGGCAGCTAACCAAAATGGAGTTGGAAGCGGAGAATAATAACACCAATCTCGCCTATACTTGAATTTGTGTATTAAAATGTGGGTTTCCTGATCTCAAGAGCAGCTTGGCATTTTCCAGCTCAGATACGATCCTTTCAGAGAATCAGCTCCAAGGTTAATGGAAAAAAAGAAGGTTTTGGACTAAAAATCAGGTGATAAAATCAAGAACATGAATGTTTGTTTTGCATATGGGGAAAAAAATAAGGTTTGGAAACTGGTGTTCTGAGACCGTAGTGTGGCCTGAGGCGGGGGGCAGTTGCACCACCTAAGTATTAAACTGTAGAATGATCTTCCAAAATTAGTATCTATCAACTTTTGAGTCCTTTGAATGCAGACTGGACACGAGAAGAATGACAGCCAGTATCAGTTCTCTCCAGAAAATGGACTGGATAATATGGCCTAATACACACCTTTTCATTTCTCAGCTCTCTGATTCTAGCAGCAGCTCATTTAAAGACATATATGGTTTCATCAGAGTGCTTAGATATGTATTTAATACAATCCCTGTAAAATGGCTTTCAGTTGTGTTAAAACATAGAAATCAGTGAGAATTAAATGTGTGCATTAAGGCAAACACATGATTAAATGTTTTGCTAGCTGGCATGGTAATGTCAAAACTATTTTTTTTAAGTTTTTGCTTGTAACATGCCTTTGGAATGTCTTTAGACATTTCTGGCTTGTTTTCCAGACCCAGAAACATTACAGATACAAATATAATCCTAAGACTCAACTAGAATAGCAATGGAGATACAAAATAAGAGGAAGTTTTAGCCAAGCTTTTAAATGACTGATTTCACTAGCATAACAATTTTCAATTTCCTTGCTTCACATTCGGCTAAACACAGTTTTCAGCCAGGATTGCTCTCCCACTCCAGGTGTGGTTCCAAAATCGAAGAGCTAAATGGAGAAAAACAGAGAGGGGTGCTTCTGACCAAGAGGGATCTAAGGAAACCATGGCTGAGGTGGCACCTCCTGCAAGGAATTTAAATTCCCCTTCTCCAGCAGATCAAACCAGGAATAAAAAAGAGGGTCTGGAGATCCAGCAGAGGTAAGAGTGTGCTATCAGCTGCCTGTCTGTGGGGCAAGCACACCTCATATATATGTATGTGCATACAGATTTGCATGCTGCCATGCTTTGACCTACATAGAATCATCTTTAGAAAATGAGCTGTTTCTTGTGCAGCTCACTGTTCCCTGTGGGAATGCTGAGAAGCTGGTGGCTGTGGGAGGCTAATGTTATCCAGGCTTGGTCACATCTAGTTGGACACTGAGATACCAACATGTTTGTGTGCATGCAGAAATGGAATCAGCTGGTTCTGGTTTTGCAAGGAAGTTGTTTTCTCTTCTCCATCAGCCTGAGTCGAGCAGTGGGTCCTACAGGACCTTTCTTCCCTTCCTGCCTGCCGGGGACTCTCCTCAACACAGCCACCTACGCACAAGCTTTATCCCATGTTGCCTCTCTAAAAGGTAAATTACTTTGTTTAACTTCAGGGGTAAGCTTAAAGAGCATCTCTTTCAAGCTAAGTGGCATAGTCCCACGTGTGGGGAAGCCTTTGGGAAATGGTGGATCTCTCTTTCTGTTTAGATGGCAGTAATTGCATTGACCAATGCTGCACATACAGAATTGAGCCTCCTGTATCTCGTAGCATCATTTGTGGCAAAACTCCTTCATTTTACTCAGTTACTTTTTGTGAGGTCAGGGTTTGTCTCATGGAGTGAGGCAGGTAGGGTTGCTCCTTTAGAGTTTTTGTTGCATATGCTTTTTTTTTTTTTAAGAGTCAAATTTATTCTAATAAATTAGTTATACACGTCCTTTTGCATTATGTATTACCTGGCACCATTACCGATGCCTCATCCGCTCTGCATGCAGTTTCCTTTGCAGTGCATCTCTGCACAATCCAGACCTTTCTCTTCTTGGACAGTAGAACTTGAATAAAATGTGTTCCTGGGGACAGGGGAGGATACAAAGTATTTCCTCATTACCTGGGACCCAGGCTTCAGGAAGGGTACATCCCATGTCTTTGTACTTTCAGTTTCCAAAAAGCAGCACTATGCATCTTTTAAAAATAAATCACCTGCTGATCCATTAGCTGTTCCTAGCCTAACAATTTCTAAGACTAAGGGTGTAAGCAGGATGAATTCAATTTATAGATTTATAGGATGTAAAGCCTCATAGCAGTGCCAAGCTCAAAGAGGCACATACATTTACTCTATGTCCCGATGTGCAATAACTTGCGAGGAAAGTTAAAGACCCTCCACTATGAACAAAAACGTCCTCTAATACCTCTCACTGTATTCTCTGGTGTACCTCATGCTCCTTGTGAGTATTTCCAGTTAAATCAGTATTGCCAAGGTGTATTCCTGAAGCAAATATTTGGAACTGCTGAGTTTTGTATTAAGTCCAGTGTCCTGCCCCCTGTACTTCCTTCCTCCTGTCTTTCAGAAAAACTGAAGCCAGACACAACTGTTACTGCTCTTTTGATAGGTGTGGGATCTGGGATCTTGAATCAAAAAAGGACACACGGGTGTGACCTGAACCCTAAAACTTAAAGGCTGATTATCACCCATAAGTGGGCAGCAGCTGTTGGAGTGCATGAGTCCTCTTGATCTCTGCCCTGTGAAGTGTTGGGGCTGGGAATTTTGGTTTCCTCGATTAGGTAGGAACAGCTTCCCTGGAGTAGACATACGTGAAATTCTTCAGGGAAAAAGATTGTTCATTGATAAATGTAGTCCCAGACGGGTTGAAATGTGTGGAAATAGAGTTGTTTTTAGCGAATAATTTCAGATGGAAGTAAGGGATTTTTTTTTTCTTAAAATTTACATTTAAGTGTTTTCAAAATTAAATGCATCAGTTAGTTGTTTTCACTTGCTTCATGTCTAAATGTAGCAAAATTTTAAGAAAAAATAACCTAAAAAACCAAAAGCCAATCAAAATAATAATAAAAAAAAGGAATAAAAAAAATGGCATGAAGGGTTGGTATTTTTTGTTTTGTTGTTTTCTTTGTCTATTTTTGGTTGGTTGGTTGGTTGTTTTTAATTTTATTTATTTGGAAGACTTCCTGATATTCTTTTCTGTGATATTACAGCTCAGCCACTAAACTGAGAAATTAATAATTTGGTCCTTTTTGCTTTGCTCTGCTTTACAACCTAGGGGCAAAAAAAGTTTTATTCCTGAATCTCTTGTAGATATTTGATAGTCAGTTACCCAGGCTAAGAGACAGTGTCCTTGAAAAGCTGGTCCCAAAATACAGATTTTTTTTTTTTGTAATTTTTGTAGGAATGATTGTCAGATGCCTGGATACTGTCTTGGTGAATGTTGTCAGCTATACATGCAGTTCATTCCTGAAATGGCCTGGTTTATATTTCCTGCCTGCCACTAGAAATCTCCAGATGCATGCAAGGAGACCGTGATAAAGTAGTATATTTTGATTTTAATAGATCCAGTTACAGACTCACACATCTGCATATCCACCTACCAGGAGCTTTGTGGAGCTGCCTATGCCTGTCAGCAAATTGTTATCCTTGCAAGGAACTTGTAGTCTGAGCTGCTTGTTTAGAGGGGAACTCTTTTTCTTCTGCTGCTGGTTCTGCTGCTAGATCTCAGTAATGTCAAATTTTGGCTTTGAGCTTAGGGAGCAAGAATTTATAGTTCTATGAGAGGACGAAGTTGACTTATACAAGCAGAGAATAATTGTAGCATCTTTCCTGTGGTACTGATATATGGAGTATTGTCTCCTCCTTCCTTGGCTCATCTCCACAGTTTCCTCTTTCCCCCTTTTTCCAAGCATAATTCACTTGTGCTGGGGTAGGGCTGTGCACAGCAGACATTGAGCCTTCAGTCTTGTAAACTGGTGAACAGGACAATCTCTAGACCTTCTGACTGGACCAAGGGTATCACAGGTCTGATCCGCATTTTGTTTTTCTTTGGTATGGAAACTGCAGATGAATGATGGTTCATCTAAACCAGTGTATTTGAGAGCACAACCAAGCTCACATGTCAGTCCGGAGGAGGAGATAATGGTTGTGGGAAGGAAATAAAGAACAGGGAGAGACACAGTGTTCACAAAACTCTAATATGATTATCTTCGACATATGCTCAGTTCGGTTTGTTTGACTCTCCCTCCTCATTTCCTTTTGAGCTAGGAGCTGATTTGTGCACTTAGGTTTGCCAAAGGAGTACTAACCCTAAATTTATCCGGGCAATAGTCTATGTCCTTACATGTTGTCTTAATGAAGTGACCTAAACCTCTCCCTTGAGAATCTAGTTGGATTTTGCTGCAGAAATGATTTGACTCTGCCACAGTGAATCTGAGGGCATAGGACTTTCTGTAACACAAAATCCCATCAAACTCAGCACAGGCATAGAGTTCTGAGCTCCTTGTTTCTTTGGATTGCTTCAATAAGGGGGAATTCAGCAAGTAGTAAGGTATTCCAAAATTTTGCAAGTTTTATTGAAGAGTGAAGTGATCAGAAGTTCTTCCCAGTATCTGTCTTGTACCAACTATGCTTTCTTTGTGCTTTTGAAAGCAAAGTAGTTGCTCCAGAATCAAAGCACCATGTCACTACCAAAGGATGCATGATCCCGCTTTCTTCTATGCCAGTGTCAAATTAAATGCAGGTCCTTTATGTGGATCCTGTAAATGGATATGTATTCCTACCACTGGGAGAATAATCCCAGTCAGTAAAGGGAATCATCTTCTTAAGTAAGACCATAAGACCTGCCTGCAAACAAATGGGCACTCTGAGCACATCAGATTCCACTGCAAAGTGTTGGTTGTTCTCTTATTCTTTTGAGGATACAAGATGTGCTTTGTTGGTCTTGTGAGCCAACACTTCAGTGGTGTCAGTGAGTAATATTTGACTGATGCTTTAAAAGGAGACAATTAAAATCAATACAGTGAATAACAAGTGATGATGGTGATGTAACTAATTAATAATTATTTTATGCTCTCAGAGACCATTTTCATTCTGCCATCTGAGGGTTCTGTCTTTTGTAAAGAAACTAATACCTCTCCTTCCTTCTCTGACTTTGCTTGGCTCCAGACCCAGATTTCCAAAGCTACATAAAGTGTCTAGGGAACAGGGTTCTTGGATCTAATTTATAGTATAAGGATGTAGTAGTTGATGATGAAGTTGGTCTAGAAGAGAAAAAAATCTCAAGACAGCCTAGTATGGGGCAAGGACTAAGCCTGCAACTTTCCCTTTGGAAAGACTGTGAAGTGCACTGTAGGCTTGCCTCATGCTTTCAGTGGCTCTGGACCCCACATATGCCACTTCTGGGTAAATGGGGGATATTGTTGGAGCATGAGACTAGGTGTGCTCTGATGAATGAGAAGAAAGCTATTTTCCCTAAGCACCTATGCCCCATGAATTTTGCTGTCTCTGCAACACAGATTTCACCCCCCAAAGTGAGGATATTAGCACCACGGAATGTTCTGTGAAGAAAAGAAGCCGCCTATACAATAGCAATTGAAACTGTTATTCAGAGCATAGACTGTTCCAGAGAAGAGTACAAATATCACTGGCCAGTTTTTCTCCATTTCTATCAAATATTCTGTATTCAGTAATACAACATACCTTTTCCTTTTCTTTGGGGGGTCTTCTCCCTCTCAGGAGTTTAGCACATTGGAGGCTGTACTTAATAGCAAGCATCTGTCTACTACTATATCACTTTTCTGTGTACTATTCTTTCAGGAAATACAATTCCTTGTTTGAAAAATTTGTATAAGATCATAATTTCTGGTGTATACAGTGTTTCCTACTTTAGGGTTTTGTAATTCACCACTGGCCATACTCAGGAAGAAGGTTGATATGCATAGAGGAAATTTCTGATGTTCATTACTCTCCGGAATTGTCCTGATTTGACAACTATGCTACTTCATTGTGGTGACTTCAACAGTTCCATGATCTTCCAAGATGAAACACTTACTGTAAGCCATGCATCTGCAGTCCATTTAGTAGATTTAATTGCAGACCTCAAAGATGAAGGGAAAATACTTGTTTTATTTATGGGCTGTATAACAATAGAGTCATCAGGAGAAGCTAGTGTTCTGTGCAGAGAGACCTCAAAGTACCTTCTTAATGGATGACAGCATGAATGCAATTCATTAATGTAGAAGATGTTATTAATGGGTGTAAACAAGAATCTCCGCTTTTTAGCCGGATGTGTTCTACCGTTCTGGTGGCTGAGGCCAAGAGTGTGTCTGTTACGTTCCACTGAAATTTCCCCAGACCCCATGATGAGTGAAGTGTATGAGGAGAGAAATAATTACACTTGCCAGGGAATTACTTTCATAATTCACTCACAGCTCTGTGCAAGTTATAGCTTGGTTGGTTTTCACGGCACCTCCACACCACCGGTAGAGAAGCAGGATCGCATTATGCACATCAAAATGCATATTCCAGGGCACCATTGATTAGGCTCTTTTATGGTTTGTTGCTGCTGTGGTTGCTGTTCATATTAGGGAGGTTTAATTGCAGTATCCAGGAAAAAAAAACAGAACACAACTAGAACTGCCCATCCATTACATTTCAATTTCTATCATGGAAAGATGAAGAGAATTTGCATAATTCCATTGGGCAATTCCCATTGCCAAGGCTGTGAAAGAAGTGTTCAAGGACCTAACTCATCCTTGAACTAGTGTTTACTGAATTGAAGCACCGCTGTTTCCCATAAGACTGGGGAATGGGGATAAAATCTCTTGGGGTCCTTTATTTTCTCTGTCATTCTTGATTATGGACTTACTGACTTTTTTAATGTAATACAGCAAATATATTGAGTGGGTTCTGCTTGACATTTTCCATAGTTTATCTGCCACTCTCACTTTGGAGAATTTAAAACATTTCTGTAGTTTGCTGCAGATGCACATACCTTGAGAAAATTACTTTGACTCCTGTATCACAGATCCCCAGCTCTAGCACTGTCCTACCTCACAGGTATATTTTGCTTATTTTTATCACACCTACTAGGGAATATGCAAGTACTAGGCACCCTAAGAGCCATGAGTAGGAAATTGATGCTGTCTTGTTTCTTCCTGGACCAATCCTGATTAGGTTAGTGGACTTCAGGCACGCAGGGATTCCTATTGAAAGGGGAAAGGAATGCAGGGTTTGCCTTTTGGAAACACTATCTATTAAAATCTTTAAAATATTTATGTATCAATATGGACCCTGCTCCCACCCCACTCTTCTCAGCTGAAACTGAACTGTGGAACTGCAGAACTGCACAAAAGGTCCCACAACCAAACTTGTAGATCAAATATCACTACAATTAAAATGTGATGTTGGCACAGACAAGACAAAACTAATTTAATTTCTCCTGTCAGTCTCTGTAGTAGATCAATTAAACTGCCAAGTAGATCAAATATTTCAGACTGTATTTATTACATTAAGTATTTATGTTCAGGCTGAGCATTTAAAGTATGATCTCATATAGGAACACAAGGAGGTTTAGATCAATTAAGCAGAATTTGCTGTAAGTTAATGGAAATCTAATTGTGTATTTTAATTTTGTGTACAGGAGGCAGTAAGTTCCTGAAAGAAAGCAAACATCACCCTGTCCGTATTGTAGCAATTTGATAGAAATCCCATTAAACTAATACCAGATTGTCACAGATGTTAGTGGAAGCTGAATCAAGATCTAGGGCTTAACCCTCACCCATTTTGATGGGTGCTGGATGCCTGATGTCCTGAAGATTCGAAATAAGTAGGAGCAATTCACTCCTTCCCCACTGTGGACTCAAGGTTACTGTGACAAGATGTTAAAAACCTCTCCTGCCTGCTAGATAAGGACACTTCTTTCTTGGTCAGCATCGCATCCTGTACATCGTGGGCTGACTGACAGGCAGGTGGAGACCTTGGGCTCCTGAGTCTCCCGTAGTTTGTCTCGGCTTTTGTGCCAGCAAAGTCCGATAGATTTCACTGGACTTATCACCTGCAGATGCAGGCAATTGTAAGGTAGATTCAACATTCTTTACAACATACATTAAAAGGAAACAGGGCTAAATCCTACCCTCCTCTATTCTAGCTGGACCCTGGAGCAAATGTTGTTTTTTGTTTTCTTTTTTATGTGTGAGCTGTTCTTTGCAAGTGTTTTAGCCTCAGTGAAAATGAAAGGAATGGTTATGGGTGAACTATTGCTAGAAATAGTTTAGTTTCCACCACAGGTAACTGCATCCTCAGGTTGCAGAGGTACTAGCTAATATCAGGTCTAATTATTAAACAAAGAGCTTAGATTGGTACTGAATATTGATAAATACTTTATCCCTCTAACAATGGAATGAAAATTATTCTTAGGGGATGGAGCTGATTCCTCCATTTTTGGAAACAGGAAGACTCTTTACTGCTTCTCCCCACCTCCCACTAAGCAGACAGTGTCTGTGCCTAGTCCTGTATTAGGTACTGCCGGTAGCCCAGCCCTCCCCTCAGCCTGGGAACTGAACAGCTGTGTTTGAAAGTCTCACTCAGTTTGTGCTAGAAAGCAGTAGTGCAAAGGCAGCTGGTGCACAGGCAGGCCTTTATGCTCCCCCATCTCAGGGCAGAACCTTAAGACAGTGAGGCTTAACAGATAGTAGTGAATAAACAGACTTCTGTGTGGCTTTCCACCTGCTGCAAACTGCAAGGACTCTGAAGGGCCTCTCCTCCCTCTTGTTAAAACAGTGGCTGCCCAGAACCCCTGAAGTGGCTGTGATTCAACAGGGCAAAAAATTACTTTATGGGTATGGTTGGTGGTGGCAAAAATTGTAAGTTGTGTTACCGAGTGAATTTATTCTAAAACCTCCTTCTGACTTGCTTGAAACAGCCACAGAATTCAAGACTGAGCCTCCTAGTGTTAAAAGCAAAAGAAATGGAGGATTTTAGTCAAGTGCTGAAACTTGTTTGTGCAATTTACTTGAATGCCTGGACCCACAGAAATGTTGGTCTGATCATATGCTTTATCAGAGAAGCATTACAAGAGAAAAGAGTTCTTTCAATTTATATTAATAACTTGTGCTTTGTAGATCCTATTTTTTCAAATGCAAAGAGTAATTTTTCCTGAATGTTACTTGCAATTGCAAATCTCTGACAATTGCTGTGGAGAAGTCTTGCAGACATCCTAAAAACAAGCAACTGACTGCATTCATTCCTTAGCAGATGAGTGCTGACCCGTTGCTACCAAGAACAGAAGTGTAAAAAAAGACTACCTGCTCTCTGCAGGTTATTAGTTCCATCACTTAGTCATGAGCCATTTAACTCAAATATTAACTGCAGAAATTAAAGCAAGTCCTTGGCTTGCAAAGATCAGGGGAAGATAGTGCAGTGTGCCAGGATGTGTGCGGCCTGGCTGTTTCTTGTTGGGACGTAGCATATCAGCAAAAAACAGACTTTTGCCAGGGGTGTACAAGAGGATGTAGGGTTTGTGTGGCCTCTGAGACCCCCGGAAAAATGATGTTACCCAACTTTTCTAACCAGAGAGCAAATTAAAGTAGCTCAGCCATCCCACCCTGCCTCCCCTTCCTACTCCTCTGACATATTCTTCTTCATTCAATAGATGCATATAAGCTAGGTAACAAGATGGCTTTTTGAATGGACTGCATTTCCTGCCCAATGGTCAACCTTCCAGGTATGCTTGTTTGGGAACTGTTCCAACCCCCAGCATTATCAAAAATAATCCAGAGGAAGAGTCTGGAATGTTGCAGCTCAGGAAGGTAGCTGGTGGAGAGAGGACTGCCTCTGTTAGGGGGTTTCAGGGGAGCCTTTTAGTTGAAGGGAGAGATATACCCACTTCATCCATTTTCCAGTGTTTTATTGACTGCTTGGAGCATCCACATGTCTCGGATGAGAGGGTAGAGATGCTCTGACCCATCTCTCCTGATGGGACTCATGCCATGTCGGCAGCAACAGTGCTTGGTAGCCTTGGCTCACTTCTGGAGGCCGTTCTCTTCAAGGTGTCTTCCTTAAGCAGCACAGACATTGACTGTGTAAGGATAGAACAGACTCTTACAGGTAGTCATGATGCCAGTAGTTGACAGGGGCCTGGCCAAGGAAAAGTCTATTTTGTCTTACAGGGAGATAGGAGAAGGTCGTCATAATAACTGGAATATTTTTACCTTTCTCTCTGCTGTAATCTTTCAGGCAAAGATAAGTGATGGAACCTTTACACTCACCCATCAAATGCTGCTGCCCACACTGATCAAGCTCAGTGTGCAGGTGGAGGGCAGGGTACATCTCAGCATAGACTGATGGCAGCCACAGAGCAGCAGCCTCATATGAGAGGAGGGAGTGAGCTGAGCCTTGCTTGTTGGGAAATCTCAGATGTGATCTGAACTTCACTGCTCGCCTTTGTCTGTTTTCCTTGCTCATTCTGTTTGTCACCCTGAGTGACTAATAGTGTAAGATCCTTCACAGTATCAGTAGAACAGGATACAAGTTTTCTAGCCCTGATACAGAGAACATCTATGTACCCACTAAAGGTCAAGGTACCCACTTAAGGTCAACCCCATCTCTGTCCTCTTCAGACTGACCATGGAGGGAACAGTCAGTCTCCACAACCTTCCCCATGAGTGACGGTGCCTTCTTTCCTTCCTCCCCAGGGAGCCCGCTGTGCTCGTGCTGCGTTCCAGACCCCATGGGCCTCTCCTTCCTGCCCACCTATGGCTGCCAAAGCAACCGCACCGCCAGCGTGGCCGCGCTGCGCATGAAGGCGCGGGAGCACTCGGAGGCTGTGCTCCAGTCTGCCAACCTCTTGCCCACCGCCAGCAGCAGCCCCACTCCTTCTGCCAAACCCTCCTGCCCTGAGGGCAGCCAGGACAAGCAGCCCTCTCCAGCCAAGGAGCACATGGAAGGGGAGAAGAGCGTATGAGACCGGACTGGTGCTGGCCCCTTGGCTTAGGGCAGTGACCCGCTGGTGTTCTGCTGGGGGGTGAACTGCAGTGTGACCATTCCCAGTGTGATGTCACAGGGCCACCAGGGACCTGGCACGTCCAAGTGGCCTCTTTGGCTGCCTTTCACACACCCTTGCTTTTCTTGTGTCACTGTACGTTCATTTCCCTGATTTATCAGCACTATCTGTGTTTGGAAACGTTCGTGAAACTGTTTTTATCCCTGCTACCACATCCCAGGGACACCAAAAGGCCTGGGATCCTGGCTTACTCCTGCACATCTTGACTTCCCATTCTGTGTGAGACGGATGGCTGACAGCAGCACATCACTTCCAGATGTGAGTTCTGGGGCAGGAGAGGCATCCAGGTACCAGTTACCCCACCACGCACAACGGGGGTGAAGGAATATCCAGGTATAGCCCAATTTGGCCTGCTGTTTTCTGAAGGCATTTGGCTTCAACCAAATTTATCCCAGGCAATCCAGGTGTAAGAGGAACAGAAAATGGAACAAAACCCTTAGTAATTTTTTCCTTCTGTCTTCTTTTCTCTGAAAGTGAAACTTCCCATGGAGTAGATTACTGGGAAGTTGACAAGATCAGTTTACCTGTGACTAAAATCCTTGCACTAGCTTCTATGTGAACATCAGTCTGTTGCTCTTGCCATTCCCTGGGTTAGATGTAAAAGACACATGACTTGAAAATGGCATTCATAGCTTCAAACTGTAATGCTGGTATTTAATAGAGAGTGTGGTTGTCTCTAGATCTGCACAAGGCTGGGGGTATTTTAGCATCCCTGTCTTAGAAAAAGAGAATGGAAGACAAAAGAATTCTGCATTGCAAAACTGGAAATATATCTTTCCATGTTTTGTGTTTAGTAAAGAGGAAATTAAGCTTGGAAGGGTATTCCTTTATGCCATCCAAAATCAGACTATTTCATTTACTGAAAACTTGTAATGAATCTAGGTATGAAAATGTATTAATTATTACAGAGTGGACACAGTACACAGGAGAAATTGATACTTTACCAAATATAGTATTATCTCACACCCAAACCCCCCCAAAGCAAAGAGGACTAAGATCTAAAGAGCAGTCATTTTAATCTGTTGTGCCTCATATTTTTTCCATGGGAAATGCACATGTAGATTTAAACTTAGTAACATGGACTTGCATTTTTCAGGTGCCACTTGCAGGCTCCTTAGGCTTGTCCACAGATGTCCCTGGAGAACCTGGTGTAACAAACTGTTCTGAGACTTGACCAAGTAATGTGGAGGCTAGTGGAAGGATTCCTGTCACCTCTGATCCTGCATGTTTTCCCAAGGACCTCCTTTAACGTGCTGAGCGCATGTTTTTACATGGGGTTTTGTTCAGCTGTTTATAGGATCTAAGTTTGGGAATGTGCTTGGAAAGCAATCCTGAGTAACGCTGGCAGCAATATTTTGTCTCCTCCACATAAGTGATCTCAGCCCATGAATTTCAGAGAACCTGGGACTTCTCTGGGGTTCTCAGGACCCTCCCATACGCCCTGGTGCATGCCTTCCTTTCCATGAGGCAGGGTTTGATGTCAACACCCACTCAAAGGGTGGAAGCCCTGGTCTTGGCAGCACCAAGCACTTTCATTGCTCCAGGAGTGAAGGGTACCAGGCAACTCCAGAGTGCAGTTTGTGCCTTCTGGACACAAACCAGCAGAGAGGGCATTGCTGGCTCTGTCCTTTGATCTGAATACGAACAAAAGTCAGACAGGGCCAACATTTATCACCTGGAGTCATTTTGCTTTACTTCTGCCACAGTGTGTTTCTTTTGGGGATCCTTAACTGTCCTAATTGCAGTACTCTGACATCTGCCTTTGTGTTCCAGCTTCAGGAGCTGCTCTGCTGAACTGTGGGGGAGGTGTCTTCTCTGGCTGCAAGTTATGGCTTAGTTTAAACAACAGCAACAACCTTTTTCTTCCACCAAAATAAAAGAGATCTCTGTGTGCTTTGTTGTGGGGAGTGGTTGGAGGAGAGAAAAATCACTGTTTTGTCAGTGATCTTCCCAATTGTAATTTTTGTGCCCTCCCCCTCCTAAAAAAAGACTAAAAATATATTCCAGTCCAAAGAGGCAGGCCCAACTTCATTTCAACATAATTACCTTGCATTCAGTTGAACTTCAGCCCTTCTGTACACTAACTCTTCAATCTAATTGTTTGATTAAACTCGTATTTCCTCCAGAAAGGTACATAAATAAGTGAATTGTTGAGCAAATTAAGAATACTTAACAGCATTGCATCTGAAAAGTAGTTATGCTGATTAAATTTTCTGTCCTTGAGGATTTTCAGGAAATTACTTTTGATCGTCAATAACACAATTAAGTAAACTACACGCACATTAGCATGAATAATTGATAAGAAATTATGTATTACCACGAAGCACTGATTTAATAATTCATGATGCGACACTCTAGTGACTGTGCAAAACTGGATAACATTGACAAGTCTGCCTGATGTTGCTGGAAATGCTGCAAATGCAAACAAGTCCACAGTTTTGTTGTACAATAAAGAAAAGTATCTGATGCATGCTGTAGTTTCTGTTTGTTTAATATTTGAATAAATTTAGAAAGAAGACCCTGAGAAGTTCCTGTACTCTTTTCGTTCAGATCAATTTATCTGTTCAAGCATCTGTTTTCACATTGACAGCTGTCCAGTTCTGCTTAGATCAAAGAGCTGTTGCAGAGTGGGGGAGGCTCTCCCCTGCACAACTGAAACCTGCAGGATGTCTCATAACTAGCAAAATTAGGGAACTCAAACTTTACAGAGCCTCCTGTTAAAGGGGCAAAGCACCATCAGTCCCCCTTAAGACTGAGCACAAAGTCTTTTTAGACTCTTTAGTATCTGATGTGTCTGTGATTATAATTATGCAGTAAGATGTTGTAGGTGGTTGCTCTAAGTCAGCCACAAATTAAGCTCTTAGATTTGTGTTTTGAGTCTACAATATGCTGTGTTAAACCCTAGGTCAATTTGCCAACAATTCTTGCAACTTGCCTAGGGAAGGCAGATAGACATTTGTGTTCTCTTTAGCATGTCGGGGAAAGCAGAACATGGTGAGCCACCTTTTCCTCTCAAGTTTTGATCCAAGACCTGTCTGCCTCAGGGCAGTGCAACCCAAGGGAACTTGCTTGAGGTCACTCAGCAGTAGCACAAGGGCAAGAGCAAAACTCAAGAGATCTGTGTCTCTGTCATGCTTGTTTCTAGCCACCAGACCCTGCTCCCTTCCAGATAGGCTTTCCACTGCAGATCAACCACCTACCTACTTTCTGTGCTGTCATATATCAGGGCTATGCCACTTAAACCACTTTGTAATGGCCATTTCAGTAGCTCTGATTAAGCCTGGCATTTAAAAGTTTATAACTCAGCTATAAAAAGTCACTCAGGCTGAACCCCAGCATGAGACGCCCAAGCCCAAGGGGATGATTTACATGCAAGCTACTCCAAAATTAACCTGCATGATATTTTTTCAGTTATATGAGGGAAAAATGGAAACCCAAGGTGTGAGGGATGGATGTAAGACAAAGATGTTTTGTTTGACAGCTAACTGCATTGTCACCAGATCCTATGCAGTAATTTTCTCTGAATTTCCGTACTAGCATGATCCATGCATAGCGTCAGTGGTCGCTGTGCAAATGTCAGTTGTTCAGGTTTGGCAAAACATCTCCAGTCCTGGGCTCCTTTCTCAAGAAATTACAGGCATCCACAACACTCGGATTTCCCCTCATCCCTCACCTTCCCCTCTTGGCCATCTCCCAGCATCCTCATTCACGACTCTGCAGAAAGCCTATGGTCCTGCCTCCAGCTCTGGTGCTGACTTTTGTCCTGTGCTGTCCCCATGCTGCAGTTCCTCCTGATCCAGTGCTGAGCCTGGCAATAGGGAGGCTACAGCAGAGCCATCTGGGAGGGAGTCCATGCTCAGGGCATGCTCAGAGCATGATTGCAGCATGTTGGACCAGGTTTTGTTAATGGGGGTTGATGTACAGTGCCAGACCATGGAACCTCTTTATAAGGTTGCATGCCTTTTTCTCAACTCTCCATGCTTGTTATCTCTTACATGTCTATTTAAGTCTCCTTATGCCTACTTACATTATAGCAGAAAATGTGGAGCTGTGAAATGTACCTTTGCTCAGTTATGCCGCAGGCTAATCCTTCTTACACTGCATGCTGGATAGTAATGAGATTGTTGGTCTAATTGGCTCTTTATTAGGAGTATTATTTACAACAATGCTGAAGGCCATGTGCATGCAGATAAAGATCTTGGTTTACCATTAAACTCTTCCCTCTTGCAGTCAGTGCCCTCCCCTCTGATCCCCACAGATTGCTGGCCTTGGGGAGTTTGGGCTGACCTTCTCTCCACCTCCCAGAGGAGTCCCTCATCCCAGGTCATGGCCAGGGATAAAAGCTTGCTGTCTCTGGGAAGTCTGCCCTTCTGCTGTGTGCTCAAGCTTTCTGCTTCCCTGCAGCAGAAAGAAGCCAGCACAGTGTGGGAGGAAGTCATTTGTTGCTGAGTGGACCACGAGGGAAAAAGGGATGGAGATGAAATGCTTGTGGTGTGCTGCTGTGGCACATTCTCCCTCTAAAAGAGCTGCTACTCGATAAAGATCCTGTTGTGCCTGGCTGGCGGTGTGGTGGAAACAGAGTGTGAAGCAGGGGAAGTGAGAAGCCCTGAACTGACACCTGAGCTCTGAGTACATAATTCAGACCTCTCCACTGAAGAGTTTGACACCCCTCTCTGAGATCATAGTGTGGCCTGAGAGGGGGGAGTTGCCTGCCACAATGCCATAAATAAAAGAGCGGTAGAGTACAATAAACAATGCTTTACTCTTTCCAGTTAAAAACTTCCTTTGCAATGTAGTAAAATATTGACTTTAGGTGACCATATTACCACAAAACAAGACCTTTTCCTGATAACAACCAAAGAAGCATTTACATAGATATGGCCTGTGAGAATGTGAATTTTATTGTCATTTACTAACACTGAATTTCACTGGCATAGAGTATATAAAGCTTTAGTTGAGAGTGAGGTATTGAAAGTATTTTAATAATCCAACCACAATGCCTTTGTTTTCTGCCCTAAGCTCTCTGCCACAAGTAGATGTTGGTCTGCTGTTTCAGAAATCTGAGTGTCATATTTTGGAGCTGTGAGAAGTTTCCTGTGCTAAACTCATAATAGTTAAAACTCACCAGGATTTAAAGTATTGGCCCACATAACTCTTCTAGTATTTAACTTCGATGGCTTCTTCCATAGTCAGTGTTTTTTATTGTA